AGGATGGTCTCGGAGAGATATCTGGCTACCAGTGGAAGAAAAAGTCCACCAGTATCTACCTCAACAAGTAAGTAGCACCATCAACCTGTCTCCATATCTAACACGGGAGTCAAGAGGGCCTCAGGGCTTTTCCATCCTTGGTCCTCCTCCCCAGTCTCACTCCCACTCGTATCTGGCGTTCCTAACATATGATTATAAGTATTTTTATATAGAAGTATAGAATTAGGTTATGAAGATGAAATGCCATTTAAGAAAGTGATTATACTCAGAATCACTGAGTTTCTACACGATCCAGTCCAGACAATTTTTGTTGTTGGGAAGATATATTTCACTTCTGTTATGAAATAAATCATGAAATCTTTTGACCATGCTACATTTTACATCATACGTCAAGAAACCAGCCCGTCATTGTGTGTCTAATATTCTGACTTATTACATTGACCTCAGAACCCTGAAGAAGTATCAGCGGCGACCTCACACAGAGAAGATCCGGCAGACCATCAAATCTCTCTACAAGAAGAAGGGCAAGGACACTGGTGGGAATGAGTGGGTGTGCATGCACTGTGACCTCACCTTTGACAACTCTAACCTCCTAAATTTGCATACACTGACCCATGCTGCTGAAGATGTCGGTTTGGATGAAATCAAGAAATTTGCATGTGATGTCGGAGAAATGCAGAACGCCAACTCTGATAGTGACATGCGCACTGAGGATGGTGAAATTGTTAGCATGGAGACGTACCTGGCCTGTCCAATGTGTCACCGGCAGTTTGCTAATAAGAGAGATCTCATTGACCATGCTTCTGAACATGGAAAAAGCAAGAAGGAATTGCTAAATCCAAACAGGCCTCACAAGTGTGAAAAATGTTTGAAGGCCTTTGGGTCTCAGGACCGTCTCCAGAAGCACATGTTGTGTCACGGTGAGGAGGACAGCAAGCCCTTGCAGTGTGATGTGTGTTACAAGCGCTTCATGAACAACTCCGCACTGGCCTGTCACATGAAGACACACAGTCACAAGAAGTACTACGAGTGTCCCATATGTCGTCTTGGCTTCGACCAGATCACCACCATGAAGAATCACATAGTTCTCCACGCTCAGAGTGGATATTTCACATGCCCTGAGTGTGGGAAGCAGTTTGATGATTATCATATTATTCGCAAACACATGAAGGCGTTCCATTTTGAAAAACGTTACCCCTGCCCTGAGTGTGATAAAGTGTTTCCTCGACAGGACAAGCTGAAGCTTCATATGCTAAGACATTCGACTCATCGTGAGTTCATGTGCGAGAACTGTGGGCGTCAGTTCAAAAGGAAAGACAAACTAAAGGAGCATATAAAGCGAATGCATTCTTTAGAGCGGGAGGTGAAAAATGCTCACAAGGGTGACAGGTCTCCATCCAAGAAATTCATTCCAAAAGTGTCTCCAACTGACTATCATAGGTTTATCTACAAATGCCACACCTATCTCTTAGGGTTCAAAAGACGGGGAATGTTGGTGAACCATCTTGCCAAAAGGCATCCCGAGATTAAGCCTGACCAGGTGCTGGAACTCAATCTCCCTATCTTGAAAACCCAGCGAGATTACTACTGTCAGTATTGTGATAAAGTGTACAAATCAAGTTCCAAACGGAAAGCTCACATCATCAAAAACCACCCTGGTGCAGATCTGACCATCAGCAGCCGGAAGAAATGCCTCATCCCAGAGATCCCTGGACTTCCAAACCCGACCTATTCCCAGACAGTGGGCTCCATCACAACCATGCCCCATTCATGCCAGTTCTGTCATAAGCAATACGCCAGCAAGGCTAAACTTATGCAACATCAAAGGAAGAAGCATCCTGACTTTGTACCACAGTTGCCTGAACGACCAAAGATGAAAGATGAACTTCCTCTGCTTGAACCTGCTCAGCAGCCTGAGCGTTATGAGGAGGTGACCGCAACAGTCCAGGGAGCTCAGCCCGAGACCCTGCAAGCTGCTGACCTGCTGACCCAGGCAATGAGTGAGCTGACCCAGACACTGCAAGAGTACCGTCCGGGGGAGTTCAACATCACATTCCGCCTCCCAACGATGGTGATCACCCCGGCCAAGCACCCCAGCCAGCAGCACACCACCATCGAGCTCAGCCATCTCGGACACGCGCTGGCACACACACAGTTTGCCCAGGTTGCCACTTCAGGGTCAACAGTGATTGCTGCAGCACCACCTCCAGCAGGCCAGCAAGCAATTGTTGCAGGGCATCCGGTGTCAGTGTCGGTTGTGACAACCAACCGAGGACAAACTCAGACTATTCAAGTCCCAGTGTCAACATGGGCGAATTATCAGACTTACCGATAGGGAGGCTGCCCTTGCTGACTTGCTGGGACAAGATTTAGAGCATTGAACAAGTCGCATATCTTTTACCAAGAACATTGTTAGGGTAGATCCTCTATTTCAGACTGATTTGATATTTTGGCAATATTTGGCAACACTTTTCCATCTATAATGTCTTCTTCTATGGACTTGTGTCAAATGGGATCACCTTTCTAATTACTTGTTAATCAACTCAAGATTACATGGAACTTGTAGTTCTTGTAGTGTGCATGACACACCTTACAGAGGAAAGCATAGTCACTGTCTACAGGAAGCATCTGTCTAACCAGATAACAGTCAATCTGTATAAACATGCTACAGGACGTCTCCTTACATCACATTGCTGCTGTGTACATACTGGGGACATGTACAGTGACCTGGCCATCTGAAGTGAAGGGGAATGCTCATAAAAAACACAACTCAAAGTCATCACTACGTATTTTGTCAAATAAAGATCAACACAATTGCAGAAGCCATCGTTCGGTTTAGGTAAACAGAATTACCCCCCTTCCCTATCTTGACTAGTTTTTCTTTAATCATTCTGAATACAGCTGTGTGTCATCAGACGAGTAGGATGCAGGGAATCAAAGCATGTTTTCTTAACTTGGTTCTCTAGTAGTGATGTATTATTTATATCCTTTGGGTTGTGAATTTAATGATAACCTTGTGACTCTATTCTTGCAGGGCCTCTGCCCACGTAGTCATATATGTTGCAGCTGTATTTTCAACATAAATTGTATGGTTGTCTTGTAGCTATGCTAACAATTTTTTTAATATAATGTTGCATTATGATATTATGACGAAATGCAGACAACCGTTTGATTTCATATTGTTGTGTACCTATTTCACAACCAAATTGGAAAATGCATCCTGTACAGTGCTTTTTTCTCAAATGTCTGAACACATTGTCTGCCAACAAATGTAACATGGAATATGTGCTTACATATTTATTACGTATTATGACAATCAGAAAGTATGTGGAAGGTTGATCTGTTTTGTTAAAGTTGTTTATTTAATGTGCTTGTTATAACCCTGTCTGAGCAGATATAAACAGTTGAGCAAGCATTCTTCAAGGACGTTCAGTTGGTATCTGATCCAGACAGAGATATTATGGGATTTTTGTTATCAATCAATGTAGAGATTCAAAATGAATTTTGCTGATGCTATGTAAAAATGAGTGATTACATTCTGCTTGTCACCCTTGATTACCCAGCATATCTCAGGTCCTTTATGACAGGTGTATATCATGGTGGATTGGAGATGTATAATACAGTGGATAATCAAGGATGTTAGCTTGTAGATCTCTAAACTAATTCCACAAGTCAAGGCCTGGCAAAATCATACCAGTTATATTCATAATAGACAATGTGGTATTTCATTCTTGGTGACATTTCTTTGGTTGAATGACATGTTTTACCAAGTTGACAGTTCTTTGTTTGCAAGATATGCTTGCTTGGGAGTTGCGTGGTACTGATGTTACTCCTCAGTGTAATAAAACCTTACATCTGATGCAGGCAGTGTTGTGAGTTGCATCAACATCCATGTGACACTCATGGCCCCGGGACAGGGACAGCAGGTGAGCTGACACAATCTCACTTCCAGAACTACTACCAGCCTCCCGTTCTATCAGTTTGACACACTGTGATACATTATGTGTAGTGTCTGTGCAGTTGTACTGTGCATCAGTTGTTACAGTCGCTGGTCACAGCTAGGCTTGTCTACTGCAGGCCTGGACCACACATCTTACAGCCAGGGATAAGACGAGTACATGTAGCATTGTAGCAGTAACTTTCCATGGGTAGTTACAGTCAGGCAAGTGTGGAACATGAACAGTACAGCAGTAACAATCAGGTCACATGGATGCCTAAGTTATTTTCAATAGTGGTGAACCCCTGAACCCTGCCACTGATCAATATCATCAAATCAACATAAGTCATGTCACAGTGTGTAGGTGAGGTGAAATGGTGTTTAATCACCTTCAAGATTATTTCAATTATAAAGCGACACCAATGCACGCGAGCGTGTGTGCTGCTTGTACTAGGCCAGACTAATGTCGATTTTAGGTAAAAATCTCAAAACCAACAAATTTTCTGATTATCAACTTGCCAAAATAAAAGTTACCATAATATGATTTTTCTCTTGATATTGGAGAATATGATACTTAACCAGGAAAATATTTGCTTATAAACAAACAAATATTAACTTGAAAGTACATTTTTTAGCATTTTACATTTTAAGAAATTTAATCTACTGGTGAATAGTCTTGAAATGGAAATCAAATGTTTTAAAATACATTTCTGCAAACAAACTACTGATGTACAGGTCAAGTGGGAAATTGTTACAGTGTTGATATTTTTACCCTTTTATAGATCTATCCCATTGAAACAGTTGCTGCAAATTAACATACATCCGAGCTGACTGGCCCTTTTTCATTTCCTTGATGCCGAGCGGAAGACATGAAAGGCGACTATGCTTGTCGTAAGAGGAGACTAAGGGGATCGGATGGTCAGGCTCGCTGACTTGGTTGATGCATGTCATCGTATCCCAATTGCATGGATCAATGCTCATGATACCAATCACTGGATTGTCCGGCCCAGACTCGATTATTCGCTGGAATATTGAGGAGGCGTTAAACAACAAACAAACAAACGAAACCCCTATAATTTATGAAACAGGAACACATCTCACAACATGGTCCTCATCGCAGCAACTGGAAGGAGCAAGCTCGCCGAAGTAGTAACTGCCTCTGAAATATAACAGATGGACATTTGATAATATACAGTATCACTTCAAGATGAGGGACTCGTTTCGTACAATTTAAGTTCCATGTATAAGTTCCCTAGAATCAGCACAGTTTAGTTTCATGGCACTGACAGCACAGCAAGATGCCACAGTCTGTGCTTCAGCACGTGAAGTTCCAGGTCGTTCTGTGTTTGACATTCATGAAGGTTTTTTATTTGACCTTTAACTGCAAGTGACCATGCTTATGGGACAGGAATATTACAAGTATACATAGTTCAACCTGCTGATATCATATGTTTTAGTCTGTTTTCAGTCGTACAAATGGGTATCTCATACCTCTAGTCGTACGTTAAAAGGAAGCCAGAAGCTGGAATGTAAACAATAAACTTGTTTCCGACCGGTTGCGCACGCACCTCCCTATGACATGTCACAAATCTCTCAGCGCGCCTCTGAGCTGGTCGCTCGAGAAGGACTTTCGCGATAGACTGCTAGTTTGTATTCTCCTAGTACTTATCGTGTGTCTACAGTTGTTGTTCTAATACAGTAATAATAATATGTCTTACCTGTAGACTCCTGGAATGTAATCCTTGGTAATCCATTGTTTGTGTTCAACACGTGTTTCACGGTTTGACTTGATTATACACGTGGCAACATGTCGGGCTTTTCTGCCTCGTGTCAAAGTATACTGTCTAAAGTAGATCCTCACAAGTTTTGTCCTTCCTGCATAATTAAGGACGGATTTTCAACGTGTTCGTGGGATCAACGTTGTAAAGAATGTGATCACTTTAATAAAATGTAATTGGTATCTTCGTGCGTTGGCGAAGCGGGCTACTGACCAGCGCTACAAGCTGAATAGGTCATCGGGTGGATCCCTGGACTCTGCAGCCTCTACATCTGGCCCTGGGGGTGGCGCGTCGGCCACACCCAAGAAATCAGTTGATAAAGACCCGCTCCAGTCAACTTATGTTTTCGACAAGACACGTGACCGTTCGCCTGCTGATATAATACCCGCACTACTGATCTTCGTCAATCGGTTGATCGTGAGCGTCACTCAGCCACTTACGAGCCTCTCGATCAGGTCGCGTTCGACATTGTCTCAGAAAATGTTTTTCCTTCTCTGCTGGGTACGGCAGCAAGAGTATCGGAACTACATGCAATTGACGTCGATCGGATTACGTTCGATCAGCGTAACCATGACAACGTCCATCTTGGTCTCAGATGGGATTTTTAAAGCAAAAAATCAACTTTCTGGCCAAGATTCGAGAAAGTTCCACATTCCTTCCTTGTCTGCCATTATGGGCCCTCATGATCACGCTGTTCTCACCCTGTGCCCAGTTCGTGCGCTTCGTATTTATCTGCAGCGATCTGAACAGCGACGACACCATTTTCGACATTACCTTGTATACTGCGAGTTGCTCTGTAACTAAACTATACGTCGACCACTTCGATCGCAATTCAACTGACGTGTGCTGTTGTCTTGTCGCCTCGATACTTACTTGTGGGTCGAAGAGCATTAACCATGCTGTTTTAGTTACCTTGTTTACTGCTAGTTGTTCTGAAACTAAATTATATTCCGTCCACACTTCGATCGCAATTCAACTGTCGTGTGCGGTTGTTCTGTCGCATCGATAATTAGTTGTGTGTCGAAGAGCAATTACCACGCTATTTTTAGCTACCTTGGATACTGCGAGTCGTTCTGTAACTACATTATCTGCCGACCACACTTCGATCGCAATTCTACTGTCGTGAGCAGTTGTCCTGTCGCATCGATACTTACTTGTGGGTCGAAGAGCATTAAACATGCTGTTTTAATTACCTTGTATACTGCGAGTTGCTCTGTAACTAAACTATACGTCGACCACTTCGATCGCAATTCAACTGACGTGTGCTGTTGTCTTGTCGCCTCGATACTTACTTGTGGGTCGAAGAGCATTAACCATGCTGTTTTAGTTACCTTGTATACTGCGAGTTGTTCTGAAACTAAATTATATTCCGTCCACACTTCGATCGCAATTCAACTGTCGTGTGCAGTTGTTCTGTCGCATCGATAATTAGTTGTGTTGTCGATGAGCATTAACCATGCTGTGCGTTCGTGATAAACAATTTGTCTCGTCCGTGCATCTGGTCGAATGTTCTATTGTCACTACAGGGGCGAGGAACTTGGTACATTCAACGTGAAAGAGGTCACTTCCTGATTACTTTCCCGACCCTCCTTCCAGTGTTCCATCGAATTCTACCCATTTGTACGACTGAAAACAGACTAAAACATGGGGTTTTCAGATTAAAAACGATGTTTTATTGGTCTGTTTTCAGTCGTACGTTCCCACCCAGCCATCCCCACTGGGAAGTAATCCAGTCCAGTCCTGCTTGATGGCTTATTCTTCGAGATTTGTGACATGTCATAGGGAGGTGCGTGCGCAATCGGACGGAAACAAGTTTATTGTTTACATTCCAGCTTCTGGCTTCCTTTTAACGTGCGACTAGAGGTATGAGATACCCATTTATACGACTGAAAACAGACCAATAAAACATCGTTTTTAATCTGAAAAACCCATTTTTGGTGTGGGTGTATTCAATATTACAATACGAGCTCATAAAAAAATATATTTGAAGGAATAGTGAAAAAGTATGTTTGATGGCATAGTTTTAAAAAGTTCTGAAGAGTGTATCAAGGAATACAAAGCACTCCTATGAAGGGAGGTTGAAACACCCTTAACAGTGTGCAATACGTTCAGTGTTTACAAATACCAGGCAGCATATTACTGCAGGTATCAATTCTCTTTCGGTGAATGTATTGGCAATATTAGCTACCACATTGTCATCAATCAAGTATCTCCAACTGAGAGAGCTAACTCCAACAGCCAGCCGTGCGGACATGGTACGTACTTCAGGCGTGAATGCTCCTTCCTGTGCCTTTGTAAAGAGGTGGTCAGTGGGGTTCAACAGGGGAAAAGATAGCCTCGAAGATGATTCACGTTTAAGATCAGGGAAACTGCCGCTAGTAGTTGGTGGCATCGGTCTAGTACCTCTCCTGGCTTCTGATTGGTCGAGAGGATCACGTGACCTCTGATGACGTCACTTCCGATGCGCATCCGGTTCCTGCGTGCGCATCCAAGAGGGCGGCACATCCGTTTCCGGTGGCGTGCGCATCCAAGATGGCGGCACATCCGTTTCCGGTGGCGTGCGCCTCCAAGAGGGCGTCACATCCGTTTCCGGTGGCGTGCCCATCCAAGAAGGCGTTACATCCGTTTCCGGTGGTGCGCGCATCCAAGATGGCGTCACATCCGTTTCCGGTGGCGTGCGCACCTCCAAGAGGGCGTCGCATCGGTTCCCGGGGAGGAGGGAAGGGGAAAAACCCAGAGGAAGCGGTCGTAAAAGGTGAACAAGATCGACATTGTTGTTCTAAAAATAGAAAAAAGGCGGTTGTGGTGGAGGGAGGGAGGAGGAGGTGGGTTCTTTGTTTGGGTTTGAGGGTCGTCAAAGCAAAGGATGAAAGCGTTCTTTCGGGAGAGATGGCTGGCCCTGAAAAGGGCCGTTTAAACGTGAGAGACTAACACTTCACCCACATAGGTGCTGTGGTGCAAAGGCACGGATGGCCTGCTACCTGTCTCCTGACAGGACACTGACTGGTGTGGCGATGGCATGTGGAGATGATAGCTCACTGAGACGAGCTTATCATGCACAGTCGACGACTCTGCCACTTTGTTGCTAGGTTGACGTCATATCAGCGAAGGATCTTGCAACAACATTCCACAAATGACATCATCGGGTATGGTGATGTGATTGTAAACTTTGAGGTGCAAGGTTTCGTTCCACAAGGCGATCGTATTGTAGCGCAATGACAGTCGTCTGTCTAAGTTACAGTAGGTGTGTGGCGATCACCTTAGCGCTACGATCATGTTGTGGAATTCTAAAGGTGTTGCCTGAATTTCTAAAGGTGAATCGGCATGCACAGACATGTCGTGTCTCCATGCAAACGTGGTGTCACGCGTGACTACAAACACACGTTACTAGAAGTATAGATTGATATACATGTGTGATGTCATTCGTTCATCCACGCCGAGGAGTCGGCACTCGTGTATGTTTACATGCGTACTTTCATTCGTGTCTCCATGCAAACGTCATGTACTTCGTGTCTCCATGCAAACGTCATGTACCTCGTGTCTCCATGCACACGTAATGTACTTCATGTCTCCATGCAAACGTGATGTCATGCATGTCTTCAAACAGACGTTTACGTTTAACCATATGATTATTACACTCGTGTATGTCTACATGCGTACTGTCACGCGTGTCTCCATGCAAACGTCATGTACTACGTGTTTCCATGCAAACGTGGTGCCATGCGTCACTACAAACAGACGTTTATCCATAGGATTATTATTTATACCGAGGAGTTGGCACTCGTGTATGTTTGCATGTGTACTGTCACGCGTGTCTTCAAACAGACGTGGTGTACTTCGTGTCTTTAAACACACATGCTGTACTACGTGTCTCCATGCAAACGTGATGTGTACTAAGTCTCTCCATGTAAACGTGGTGCCACGCGTGTCTTCAAACAGACGTTTATCCATATGATTATGACGTTGTCATTCGCTCATCCTTGCTGAGGAGTTGGCACTCGTGTATGTCTACATGCGTAGTGTCACGTGTGTCTCCATTAAACGTGATGTACTTCGTGTCTCCATGCAAAAAGTGGTGCCACGCGTGACTACAAACACACGCTACTAGAAGTATAGATCGATACACATGCGTGACGTTTGCAAACGTGATGTACTTCATGATGCGATGCGAACGTACGTAGTGTCACGCGTGTCTTCAAACAGACGTTACTGATCGATAGACATACGTGGTGTTTGATTCCTGTCTCCAGGCAAACGTGATGCCTCTCGTGTACACAACCATACATACAAACATATTTTTGAAACATGGTGTCACGCGTAGGCGTGTACCTCCAAGAGGACTGGTGAGGGCGTGGGTTCTTTGTTTTGGATTGTTGTTTGG